CTAGTGCACTATTGTCTGTGTCCCTGGGTTATGCATATATACATATAAATTCTTTGGTTAATCTCTTCTCAACCAGCTGTGCCACACCCATAGGGTGGGACTTAGCCTATATTTAAAGGAAGGAAGGGAGGAAAAAAGGAAGGAAGGAAGGTGTGACTAATAAAAAAACAGTGGAATCCCAGATGGAAGAAACCTTGGAGGTCACCTGATCTTTACAGGAGTCCCATCTATATCAATCTTCAGATTTGCAATTAAAAGTTGTTTGTATATTTGTTTATTGTCAAACTAATTTGGCCTATGTCCGAAAGGTTTTATTTTCTTTTTCTGGGAAATAGAGGGGAATGATGATTAACATAGATAAGAAATGATGTTACATTTTTGATAAAATACAGAAATGTAAAGTACAATTTTTATGGGGAAAAGAGAGTAATAAAAATTATCATGAGACAGTGAGCAATCATTTAACTTTCTTTGTCCTGAAAGAGGCCACTGTGAATAATTTCTTGCTATTCTGAGCATGTATTTGTGCTGCTGCAGAATTCTGTGGTCTTTGTCAGTCTGAACCATTCCCTGGTACAAAAGTGACAAGTTGTGGTGGTGGGAAACTGACAGAATGAGGCGCAGGGATGAGTCTTGCCCTTTTTTTGGGATGGGGGTGGAGACATAGAACCTTCTTACGTGCATTTAGTATTTCTTCTGCTATATCCAGTGTGAGTCAGTGGTTGCCATATCTAAAATGTATCACAGACAAGATCTAATCTACATAACTTTTTAAATGCTCTTTTCCCACTGAAACAACCCACATATTTTAGGGCAAGATCACTCAAACATATTCCATGGTTGTCCACTTTAATCTTAAAAGTGTAGGGAAAAAAATATTTTTGCCTTGACTGGGTGGCTCAGTTGGTTGAGCAACGTCTTGTGCACCAGAAGGTTGCAGGTTCGATTCCTGGGCACATACCTAGGTCATGGGATCGATCCCTGGTTGGGGCTCGTACGGGAGGCAACTGATCGATGCTTCTCTCTCACATCCATGTTTCACTCTCTCCCTCTCTCCCTTCTTCTCTTTCTTAAAAAAGTTTTTTAAAAAAAATCAATAAACATATCCTCGGGTGAGAATTAAAAGAATGTTTTGTTTTTGTATTTGTGTTTTCTACTTAGCTAGGAACTCTGGGTTATCTTGGCTGTTTAAGCATATTTTTGCTGGTGGCTGCATAAAATGTATGGTGTTCTTGGGCAAGCAAGCTCCTAGCTTTTGAAAAATGGAGAGATGAGCAGTACTGACAGCTCAGTAGGACTTTCTGAGCTCACAGTTCACTTCTCTACTCCACCTCTAGCATCATCTGGTGACTCCAATGTGGTGGAGTAAGTCCCACAGCTCAGCCTCTAAATACCTTGGCATTCTGGGGTCCAGTGACCTCCCCTTCAGTAACCACCACATCACCCTACCCCCACCTTCCATGTCTTTTCCAGCAGCGTCCCGTGCTTCAGCCACATGGACTTTCATCTCTGGACCATTGCCGATGATATTTCCTCTCCCTCCGGTGCCCTTCCTGACCTCTTGTTTGCCTGTCGAACATCTACTGTCCATCCTGCAGCTCAGATATCATGTCTTCATTGAAATTTGTTCTTTATTGTTGTGCGTTCCCCCATCCTTGCCATTCAGAGTTGGTCAGTCTCCTTTTCTCCAATATCTGTAATTATTTTTTACAACAACTCAAACGCTTCGTGAATTTATACCTTTACGCATCTGTTTCCTTCTTTCACACTGGAAATTTCTTCAGCACGGGCTCCTCGTCTCTTGTGCTCTTGTCCCCAGCACCTAGTAAAGTGCCTGGCACACAAGGGACGCTTTCTAAAGGTTTGTTGAATAAAAAAGAGGAATGGAAGTAGGTCTGAACGTGGAGTCATTTGAATAACAATAATTGTGGTTATTGTAGTGAGGCAGTAACATTTATGTGCCACTTAATAGCACATAAAATATTTTTATATGACTATTCATTTCAGCTTCACGACAGCCCTGCAAAGGAAACTAAGCTCCAAGAGGGTAAAAGCACAAAGCCAGTGAGTGGGAAGCTGGGTTTTCTAAGGTCAGCCTTGGCTTTTTCTGCCACAAGGAGCTTCGAACACAGAAGTTTGGTGGTGGAGAGGGAAGCTGCCAGGATTCCCGTTATTCTAAGTACATTTTCCAAACTGGTGATATTTTCACCAAATTTTAAGGTAATACTCTTTTTGGAGACACTGAAGAAAAGATATTAAAGCTAAGAGAAAGCAAGACAGAGGATATGTTAAAGATATGGGATGTGTTAAAGATAGAGGATTTATGAAAATGGTGGGTCTTAGTTTTCTGTGCCTAATTATCCTCAAACCCGGCCCGGGTATCAGGTTCACAGCCTTGGATGCACTCTCCTCTGCGTCCCCGTGGTGAGGGGAGCGCGCTGCATTCACTGGCGCCGCGGCTGCGTTGTCCTGCTCGCGACTGAGGACTGGTAAACCGGAGAGCTAGGCGGTCAGCGGGCTTCTCAATTTATATATTTTATTCTCCAAGCCACAGTTGTGATATCATTCTTACCACAGTGATGAGTACATAGTAGACTGGATCAGGCTTGACTCAAAGCTATTTTTATAGTTACCTTTTAATGTTCAAAATCAATGCAGAATCAGGCTTATTGTAAAAAGAAAAACAAAAATTAATTTTCTCTCTTTTTTTCTTTTCTCTTTTTTCTTCAGGTGGCTTCCTTTTATGTCTCAGGGCATAATTCATTCAGAAATTGAACTTTATCTTCAAGGTGAGAATTAATGAAACCTTCAATACAAGAAAGTACAAGATGCTTTTGATAAACCGGACATCACGGAACAAGCCCCAGTTGCCCGCAGAGTGTTCCCTTTGATAGTTTACCCTTTGCATCAGATTTGTAGCTGTTTCTCACAGTGAAAATAAAAGCATGTGTAAAGAAGTGTCTTGGCAATGTTATATACCCAACTATAAGTTAAAAATTAATCTAAGGATTTGCTACTGTCAAAGAGTTAAACTCACACCTCTTTTTCTTCCACTTATGTCATCAGACAGATCTATTATTAACTGCACTTCACTTTTATTTTTGCAGAAATGCAAATATATCATCAACCTAAAATGCAAGAGGAAGCAAATGGTAAATGTTGTTGCCACTTTTCATCTTTTAATCATCTGAAATAATCTATTTCTTGTTACAATGGCCTGCCCTTCCCATTTTTTCGTATATTCTTATTGAGTCTAAACTCTTGATAGAAAAATATTTAAAATGAATACAGGCACAGGCATTAAATTATTTCTTGATTTATAAAGAAAGTAACATAAATAACTTCAGCTTCAAATGCGTTTTCCTTTCTGTAACTGATACAAGAGAAATAATCACTTTTCAAGTGATTAATTTCTATTGCACTTTTTATTTACTAAGTTTGTATATTGATTTCTAGTTGTTTTTTTTTTAAGTCTTTTGAGATTAGCTTTTTCTATTAGGTCATCTTTAAATCAACCTGCAGTAGTATTATTAATATGTTTACAGTTTAAAGCTGATCTAAATGAGATGGAAAATGCAGATAACCAATATGCAAAACAAGTTAACAAACCCCTAGTCTTAAAAATATTTGTACTGTGTGCAGTAATTTGCAACTAGGCAAAGGTTAACACTAACATTATTATGTTCAGAAAGCCCTGTATTGATTAGGATGGCCACTGAGATGCAAGCATCATGTCTACTCTGATAACTAGTATTTGCATTTATTGGTATTAGAAATTGTATTTTGGCTTATATTTTACTTTTTGTTTTTTAGTTATTTATGGGGGAAAGGCTGAACGTGTGTCAGACTGTTAACATGGACATAATTTTGCTAATGTTCTAGAATCTCAGTAATTTTAAGGGGCCTCAGAAGGTCTGTGTCTTACAATAAGCCCTTAAGCAATAAGCTTGAAATGACATTCGAAGTAGGAAAATTATCAATTAATTCCAGACCTTGGTGGGGTACATATGAATAACAGAGGTTAATAGTTTTAAACTAAAGATTCTGATTAAGGATGAAAATGTTGAAAGTCTTTTTAAAATAATATTAGCCATGGAGTCAGTGTCAATGATACTGAATATAACGGAGTTACATTATACACTAGAGGTGTTTACCTAGGCGTTTGTTAGATACACTTTATCAGTATAATTTTAATTAGAATAAACTATCACAAAGTGTTTCTTGTTATTATTTCTGTGGCTTTAGCTTATTTTTATGGCCTCATTTAAATGTCCTTAATTTTTATAGTACAGATGTGGATTAATCACAGACACTCATTATTTGTCTGTGAATGGCACTCTTATGTTACTTCACTTTTAATTTCTGAAGAGTGGGTTCTTTCACATTTCTTGGGATATGATTCTAGGGCTACATGAGTAGTCTTATAGTTATATGAATACACTAATTTATGTTGTGGAAAGAAACCTGAGAAGTTAAGTAGTCTAATGAGACAGTGATACGTATGGTTAGGGGTGTTGAAGAGCAAACATGAGTCTTAGATTTTGAAAGTACATGAAGCACATTTATGTGGCTTGTGCTTTTCTATGCAGCTGCAATAGGAAGAAAGTAGAGCAAGATGCTGTTTTAGTGTAATGGTAGAAAGAGAAAAGAAGGAATCACTGAGTTAATTTTATTTTGAGGTGATTAACAATAAATACAATTATGTTCCTGTATATATGTGTGTATGTATATGTGTGTGTGTGTATATGTATACATGTACCTATATATACATACACATACATATATACATCTCAAGGTCACCATATCATGTGTGAATAGTGACACACCTTCCCTTGTCCTAAGATGCCATCTAGGTCCCTGGTACGAAGTGGGGTGGAGCAGTATTGGTAGCATCAGTGTGAACACATACAGTATTTGCTATGTTGTGTCGAAGTGTTTTAGATACACAAACTTATTCAGCCCGCAAGGTGTTCCATGAAGCAGATGACATCATGGTTCTGTTTCGCAGATGATGGAGCTGAAGGGCACAGAAGTTTTTAAAACGTGCCTAAAGTCGCACAGGTGGAAAGTAGGCTAAGAGTTTGAATCCTGGTTGTTTGACTTCAGAGTCTGTTCTTGCTTTAAGGGAACTCTTTCCAGCTGCCCTCAGTCATTATGAACGTGTTTGTGTGTGTGTACACTGCCGGTATCTTTGGATTCATTTCATTGTGTTATTTTTCTCCTTAAGCTCTGTTTTTGTCTTTAGCCTTCAAGCTTATTCCATACCCAACTGGAAGGGTGCTTTTAGCTGCCAGGAGATTGTTATTGCTACTGTCATTATTCTTACTAATGTTTTTCACCCAGAACTTTTGTGGAAACAAATTAGGTTTCTGCTAAACTTCCTTTTTTGACAGTTAGGTGGAGCTCAAATGTTCACTAAGGGTGTAGCCCCTTTTGGCTCATTTCAAAAGTCTCAGGTCCAGCTCCCACCTTGGGGTGGACTGTAGCCTCCCATTTTCATGGCCTGGCAGTAATGTTTTCCGCAGCCTTCTTGATGACTGATACTCACCACTCAGTTTCTGCTGATGGTCCCTTTATTAGTAGTATTACTAATAGTAGCAGTAGTAGTAGGCAATGTTTTTTTTTGTTTACTTTCCTGGGAATGAAATATTATAATAAAAATTTTAGAATTTTTTAATTGCAATTTATCCAGAATCTAGTGATGGTACAGTGAGAGGGCTTTAAAAATACCGTCCCAGGAAACTGGCTTAGAAGGATCGGAAAACTGTCTTATCAAACAGTTAATAAATGAAATAACTAGTATTGGAATTAAGCTCTTAACTGGCATACAAAACTGTGTCACTTTAAATGACTCGGCTCCCTACATGCTCTCAAGGGTTTCTGACTTGGAGAGACTATAGAATTCCTAGAGCACTTAGTCATTTATTTACAGGCAATGCCAACTCTTTGTAGCAGCTTGGTGGATTGTCTGTGGTAAATATTATTAAAATATTTTTCTCTCTCTTCTCGATTCCATTTTCCATACATACTCACTGGCCTCACTACCCAAATAGTGTCTACTCTAGGAAAGAAACTGAAACTTAATTATTAATCTCAGCTAAACATAATTAAGAACATTACCTGTTTTATAATATCATCATGCATTCCGAAGCTAATGTAAATGGCTTTGGATCGCCCCTGCTATGACCATTTATGCCACAAATTTTGGAAGTTGTGTGAGTACTAATGAAGTGACCACCTGAGATGTGATGCTGGAACCTTCTATCCATTGTGTCAGTCTTGTTTCCTGGACAGGAAGACACACTGTGGGTCCTGGGAACCTGGGTGGGCCTGAGGGGTCAGTGGCTCAAATAAGCGCCCATAATGTGTGTAGTAGGGATCCCAGAGAAACCATCTGTGGGATTCCCTCGTCAGTCCCAACATTCATAGCCTGAACCTGGGTTAACAAATTCTACTGGTGCTAAATTGGAAGGTTGAAGTCAATGTATGAACAAGTTTGGAACCAAAAGGAGGAAGGTGAACCCACAGCAATTTTCAGCAGAGGCCAGATGTTTGCTGTAACTTACTGTTCAGGGCCCAGAGCCTTCGGCATGGGTCTGCCAGGAAGAGTTAAATGAGCAATCACTGAGCCAATGCAGTGCTTCCTGTGCCCCTGCTTGGCTTTTGTCTCATTTTCTCCTGACATTAAGTAGCCAGTGTTTGAACAGTCATTCATGCTACATTGATTCTAGAACCTTGTTTCACACTTTTCCCTGACAGACAAAATACCCATAACTTAACATAGTAATTGAATGGAATGGATGTGACACTGAAACAGTAATACTGTGATCTTACCATCTTCAGAATGTCTAACAGCTATGGAGAAACATGGCCAAAAGAGCCTACTCTCAACACCTAGAGATAATTCATAGAACGCATAGTACAGTTAGGGTAAAATAGAATTAAGTGGTTTTTGCGTAACGTGAGGCAAGACTATTGACATTTGGGCTGGATAATTTTTTCTTGCGGGAGTCTGTGAAGTGTATCAGGATGTTTAGTATCATCTCTGGATGCTAATAGGACCTATACAACTCTCCACATTGTGGGCACAAAATATATCTCCAAGCATCACCAAATGTCCCCCTGGGGGCAAAATCACCCCCAGTTGAGAGCCACTGACTTAGAGAATAGTGATCTTGATGGAGGAGGGCGTGAGAAGGGTTGAATGGCAAGTCTGGAAAGGTGGATGTGGCAGACTGTATTTGCTGTAAATGTCTATGATTATAACATTTCCTGTCTCATGTGCTCTTCCAGACACTTTGCCACTTCCCCATCAAAAGGTGGAATCAACCTAGGCAGACCTTTGAGACTTTTCAACTGTTAATATGCAGCAGATGTCATGCTATGGGCTGTTTCTGCCGTAGACTAGGAGGTCATAAAAAACAATACTGCTCTGCCTGGCTCTCCCTGTCTCTGTCTCTGTCTCTGTCTCTGTCTCTGTCTCTGTCTCTGTCTCTGTCTCTGTCTCTGTCTCTGTCTCTGTCTCTCTCTGGGGATGTTTGTCCTTAGAACCTAGCCACCATACCTTAAGGAAGCACAGGCCACACAGAAAGGTCTACATGGAGAGGCACAAAGGCTATTTCCCTGATCCCCAGCTGAGCTTCCAGACAGCAGCCAGAACCAACTTGCCAGTCATGTGAGAGGGCCACCTTGGAAACAGATCCTTATGTCTGCAGTTGAGTCACCACAGTTGACACTGTGTGAAGCAGATATGATCCTTCTATGCCAAGTCTGGCTCAAATTGCAGATT